GCTGCTTCCAGTTTCTGGCTATTACAAATAGTGCTGCTATGAACACTGTTGGTGTCCTTGTATGAATTGCTTCTTTTGGGTATATGCCTAGGAGTGGAATTGCTGGATCTTGTGGTAGACTAATTTGGAGGGGGACATTTTTAAAGATAGAATGCACGACACTAGGCAGAACACCTGATTAAGGACATCCCTCTGGTGGCTATTAATGTGTTTTGGCCAGGTGACCCACGATGGACTAAGTGCTATTTTGGGTTGTCCTAGTTATGATGGCAGGTGTTTTCAGTATCTGTGGGCAGAGGCCAAGGTCACCACTAAACATCTTACAACACTTGAAGATAGTCCCTTCCTGATTGCCCACCTCCAAGCAAAGAATTGCTCACTCCAAGAACTCATCTATCTATGCTGAGAAACTGTGCCTGCAGGATGTCATGCTTGTAGGCCCTTAAGCATTTGAGCTTAGGTACAGATGAAAAGAGAGGTATTATTGTCATTGCTATCACAAATATATCATCATCACCCCCACCATCATCACCGTCACCACCATCATCACCATCATCACCATCACCACCATCATCACCATCATCACCATCACCACCATCATCACCATCACCGCCAACATCATCATCATCATCACCATTAGGACCATCATCACCACCACCATCAATATCATCATCATAATCACCATCACCAAAATCGCCATTAAAATCATCATCATCCCAATCAATATCATCACTATCAACAACACCACCATCATTGTCACCATCACCACCATCTTCATACTCACTACAATAATCATCACCACCATCATTGCCCCCATCAGCAGCATCATCCCTACCATCATCGTCTTTGTCGTCATCACCATCCTCATCACTGTCACCACCACCACCATCATTATTTCTACTACCACCATCTTCATAACCACCAACATGATTACACTGTCATCACCATCACAATCATTATCGCAGTCACCACCACCATCATCATCATTAACGTCATCACTGAGATTGACAATTATGAACTAAGGCAAAGCAAAAAGTCACCAAGACAAAACGGTAGCGTACAGAATGGGAAAAGATCTTCACCAACCCCACATATGACAGATGGCTGATCTACAAAATACACAAATAACTCAAGAAACTAACAACAAAACACCAAATGATCCAATTGAAAAATGGGATACAGTTACAAATAGAGACTTCTCAATCTCAAATGCCTGAAAGGCACTGAAGGATTGCTCAACATCCTTAGACATCACAGAAATACAAATCGAAACAACACAGAGATGCCATCTTATACCTGTCAGAATGGCTAAAACAAAATATTGATGACAGCTTATGCTATAGAGAATGTGTAAAATGGGGAACACTCCTGTGTTCAGTGGAAATGCAAACTTGTACAGCCATTTTGGAAGTCAGTGTGGCAGTATCTGGAGAAAATGGAAATCGACCTACCTCAAGAGCCAGAAATTCCACTCTTAGGCATATACCCAAATAATACATACTCATACCACAATGACAAAAATGGTATGTACTCACTCATATATGGATATTAGAAAGAATGCAATGCAACAAGACAACATGACAGCCCACAAATTGGGAAAAGATATTCATCAACCCCACATCCGACAGAGGGCTGAGCTCCAAAATTTACAAAGAACTCAAGAAGCTAGTCTCCAAAACACAAAATAATACAATTAAAAAGT